AAGGAAATACAATAAAAATAGATTATTGATAATAATCGATTGATCGAAAATAACCGATTATTTAAAATAATCGATCATTCTGTTTTTTTTTAAATCGATTTGTCAGTTAATCGACTTTTTAATTAATCGATTATTTTTGAAATACAATAAAATAGATTATTGGTAATAATCGATTTATCATAGAATCGGCTTCTTAATTAATTGATTATTTTCGATTAGGCGATTATTTTGGAATTATCGATTATTTTCGGTATTTCAAAGATAATCGAATTAACGATTTTAAAGGAAATACAATAAAAATAGATTATTGATAATAATCGATTGATCGAAAATAATCAATTATTTAAAATAATCCATCATTCTGTTTTTTTTTTTAAATCGATTTATCAGTTAATCGACTTTTTAATTAATCGATTATTTTTGATTAATTGATTATTTTCGATTTTTCAAAGATTATCGAATAATCTGTTTCCATGGACGAAAAAAAATGGTTTATTTGAAAATAATCGATTATTTAAAATAAACGATAATTCTATTTATATTATATTTTGTAAACATTGATTTATCGGTTAATTAGCTTTTTAATTAATCGATTATTTTTGATTTTTCAAAGATAATCAAGTAGTCGATTTTAAAGGAAATGACAAAAAATATATTGTTTGAAAATAATCGATTGATCGAAAATAATCGATTATTTTCAATAATCGATAATTTATTTCGATAATCACTCATCCCTAGCGACTAAATGACTTTTAATAGATTTAAATTTTAAAATGTTATCTGGTTTCAGACATATGCATTTCTAGAGTTTTATGTGACTCATCCTTTATAATAATTAATATTCTTAAAGAAAGAAGCCTTAATATACTTTTTTCTGAGGTTACAATACAAAACAGCATTTTCTCATTTTGACTAATTTTTAATAATATGTAATAGCCGTAGAAAAAATATAATGTTCAACTTATAAGGGTAGATTTGCAGTATTAGCCTGCGCACATGCTATTTTTATAATACTCGTAGACAATGAGTAACATTTTTTGCTCTATTAACAATATATTCTATTTCAACATTTTACTGTAATCTCTTGCAGAAAAGTCCGTAGTAAATAAACGCTAACGAAATATTCTATAAAAGGTCTTCTCTTTAGATAAAATGTCGTGGCATCTGTTTGATATTGAAAAATCACGTTAATTTTATTTCATAATACAAAATTCGATTAAACACCTTTTAAATAAACCTAAAGTTCATTAAGATGCTAATAAACAAAGTCCGGTCCCTGTCACAGAATTCGGGTCGCCGCGTGTCGCCGCCCAGTTCCCCCACTCCGTTAACCCTTCTTTAGAAATTGGCAACATTTGCGCAGGTTTAAAACCGGTGTATGTTATATCTCTGGTCTCTTTTATCTAAGATGGTAGTCAAATACATAATGCAAGTACAAATGCATTGAAAATCGGAATAATTTGAAAATTGAATCTGAAAAATCTCCCTATGAGTTATTAAGATCATTTCCAAACCCCAAAAGTTAAAACACATGCTTGGAGATTTGAAACATAAAATATTGAAGAAAATAAGTTCCAATTTTCAAATATGTATTCCTACTTGTTAAAGTTGAAATTGGAACCTTTGTTTCGTCCTTAATTTCAAAACTAATAGATTTATATACTTCAAAATTTCAGAACACATTTATAAAGAGTGTAGAAAGATTATTCTGCAAACAAAATTCTTAAATATCAACAGCTGTTAAAGATAAAGAGTATCAAAGTTAAATTCCTACTTGTTAAAGTTAAAATTGGAACCTTTGTTTCGTTCCTAATTCCAAAACTAATAGATTTATAAACTTCAAAATTTCAGAACACATTTATAAAAATCTGATGTGTCCAACACATGACTTTCCTATCTAGTTATTACAGGCTTTTTCCGGTTATTTTGTACAACCTATTGCAGCATCTCTATAAATGTTTAGAGGATAAACTAAATATATACATTGTCCACATACATCTACCGCGAAAATTTTTCTATAGATATTCATTGAAAATGAAAATACTGAAAAATTTAAATTTAGCCCTTTTCCTACAATTTTTCCATTACGGTCCATTTTAAAAAAATCATGTATGAACAAATATTATAGAGATCGATATCGCAAACAACTTTTATTTTTCAACAATTTTCATAAAAATCAGAATTTTGCACATTTTGTCAAATTTTTTGAATACGGACCATTTCAGGAAATTTTTACATAAAGCAAAAATTATAGATAATAATATTAGAAGTAACTTTTATTTGAACAATTTTTTTCTCCAAACATAAATAACAGATATATTCCATAAAATATAAAAACGGCCTCCCATAAAGTACCCCCCCAGATGTTCCGACTTTGTCCAAAATCTAATCATTTCACGTCAGGCCGAAATAAAACTTAAGTTTAAAATTTAATGTTTTTTTCTTTATGCGTTTTTGAGTTTTCTTCAAATTTCGAAATTTACACATTTTCTCAAATATCTCGAATACGGTCCATTTTAGAGAAATTATCTATAGGATAAAAATTATAGAGAATTATATTACAAACAACTTTTGTTTGAACAATTTTTACAAAAAAAAATATTTTTTTACATTTTGTCAAATTTCGCGAATACGGACCATTTTATGAAAATTTTGTATATAACAAAAATTATAGATAATAAAATAAGAAGTAACTTTCATTTGAAGAATTTTCTTCCCCAAACGTAAATAACAGATATATTCCATAAAATATAAAAATTACCACCTATAAAGTACCCCCCCAGATGTTCCGACTCTGCCCAAAATCTAATCAGCTCATTAGACGCTGGAATAAAGCTTAAGTTTGAAATTTGGTGTTTTTCCGTGTATCGGTTCATGAGTTATGCGTTATACAGACACACACACACACACACACACACACACACACACACACACAGACACACACACAGACATCATCGCGAAAATAGTCAAAACGGATTCAGGGGACCTCAAAACGTAAAAATCCGTCGAAAACTCGAGGTCGAAAAAAATCATGATTCCTATACTTTCCTTATATCTGTAAACAGATAGGAAAGTAAAAAGTGTAGAAAGATTATAATGCAAACAAAATTCTTAAATATCAACAGCTGTTAAAGATAAAGAGTATCAAAGTTAAATTCCTACTTGTTAAAGTTGAAATTGGAACCTTTGTTTCGTCCCTAGTTCCAAAACTAATAGGTTTATAAACTTCAAAATTTCAGAACACATTTATAAAGAGTATAGAAAGATTATTCTGCAAACAAAATTCTTAAATATCAACAGCTGTTAAAGATAAAGAGTATCAAAGTTAAATTCCTACTTGTTAAAGTTAAAATTGGAACCTTTGTTTCGTCCCTAATTCCAAAACTAATAGATTTATAAACTTCACAATTTCAGAACACATTTATAAAGAGTGTAGAAAGATTATTCTGCAAACACAATTCTTAAATATCAATAGCTGTTACAGATAGAGAGTATCAAAGTTTAATTCCTACTTGTTAAAATTGAAATTGGAACCTTTGTTTCGTCCCTAATTCCAAAACTAATAGATTTATAAACTTCAAAATTTCAGAACACATTTATAAAGAGTGTAGAAAGATTATTCTGCAAACACAATTCTTAAATATCAATAGCTGTTAAAGATAAAGAGTATCAAAGTTTAATTCCTACTTGTTAAAATTGAAATTGGAACTTTTGTTTCGTCCCTAATTCCAAAACTAATAGATTTATAAACTTCACAATTTCAGAACACATTTATAAAGAGTGTAGAAAGATTATTCTGCAAACACAATTCTTAAATATCAATAGCTGTTAAAGATAGAGAGTATCAAAGTTTAATTCCTACTTGTTAAAATTGAAATTGGAACCTTTGTTTCGTCCCTAATTCCAAAACTAATAGATTTATAAACTTCAAAATTTCAGAACACATTTATAAAGAGTGTAGAAAGATTATTCTGCAAACAAAATTCTTAAATATCAACAGCTGTTGAAGATAGAGAGTATCAAAGTTTAATTCCTACTTGTTAAAGTTGAAATTGGAACATTTGTTTCGTCCCTAGTTCCAAAACTAATAGATTTATAAACTTCAAAATCTCAGAACATATTTATAAAGAGTGTAGAAAGATTATTCTGCAAACACAATTCTTAAATATCAATATCTGTTAAAGATAAAGAGTATCAAAGTTAAATTCCTACTTGTTAAAGTTGAAATTGGAACCTTTGTTTCGTCCCTAATTCCAAAACTAATAGATTTATAAACTTCAAAATCTCAGAACATATTTATAAAGAGTGTAGAAAGATTATTCTGCAAACACAATTCTTAAATATCAATAGCTGTTAAAGATAAAGAGTATCAAAGTTAAATTCCTACTTGTTAAAGTTGAAATTGGAACCTTTGTTTCGTCCCTAATTCCAAAACTAATAGATTTATAAACTTCAAAATTTCAGAACACATTTATAAAGAGTGTAGAAAGATTATTCTGCAAACACAATTCTTAAATATCAATAGCTGTTAAAGATAAAGAGTATCAAAGTTTAATTCCTACTTGTTAAAATTGAAATTGGAACCTTTGTTTCGTCCCTAATTCCAAAACTAATAGATTTATAAACTTCACAATTTCAGAACACATTTATAAAGAGTGTAGAAAGATTATTCTGCAAACAAAATTCTTAAATATCAACAGCTCTTAAAGATAGAGAGTGTCAAAGTTAAATTTCTACTTGTTAAAGTTGAAATTGGAACCTTTGTTTCGTCCCTAATTCCAAAACTAATAGATTTATAAACTTTTTGAGTTATTATCATTCTCTTTTACTTTTAAAAGAAATAAATTTGATATGTTGTACATACAATTATGATAATCTTATTTCACGTGTATGGCCAGCTAGTAATCTTAACTTTGTTTAATTTCGAATTAAAACAATCGGAGACAATGAATGTTATTTACTGTTCATCGACAGAAAAGTTCTAGTTTCATTCTAACTACTGTTTTGAGTTTAGTTCCTATGTTGTGAAATATATAAGAAATGACGCTTAAAAAATCTGATTTTATTACTTTATCTCAAAGAATTCACGGTAGTTTCCAAGATATAAATCCTATAGTGATTTGGAGTAAGAATCGGAAGAAAAAGGACAAAGATGAGGTATCAATTATTCATCATGTATTTTACAAATTTTATTTATTATACAGTGTGCGTCACAGTTTCGTTTATAGAAATCTTCGAAATTGTGTGTTTTGAAGAGTGACCCACATATTTATTGCAAATATTTAATATATAAAAACAAATTTTTAGAATATGAAGATTTATGACAAAAATAATATAAAAAAAATCGTACAAATGCCATTAAAAATTGTTGATCGTTCTCGAGTCCCATATCATTAAGCGTCTCGTTTTTATTATTCTGGGTAAGTTGATTAATATTTTAAATCCGTTGAAACCATCTTTAACCATTTATTTTTCTAATAATATCAATTGCGCGACTGGAAATGTATTATTTCTATCAATTTTGAACCATTAGTAACTTCGTAACTGATCTAAATCGGCCGTAAAATCTGATCGGACGGTGGACTGCACGGTGGGCGGGCAGTGACGTCATCGTGCAGTCTTCCGTCGGACTAAAGTTGACAACCTCTCATCACAGTCGGTCTTTAATCTATATATACCGGGTGTTTAAATTAAAGTTTTACAATTAAATACCGGCGAAAATACGTTTTTTATAAAAAAAAATCTAATATGTCCAACAAATGACTCTCCTATCTACTTATTATAGGCTTTTTCCGGTTATTTTGTACAATCTATTGTAGAATCTCTATAAATGTTTAGAGGATAAACTAAATATATACATTTTCCACATACATCTAAGAGATTGATGATTTTTTCATGGATGCAATTTTTAGATCTTAACCCTACTCTACCCTACACTCGGAGCTCGGTTATTTAACACAACCTTACTCATCGGCAAAACATTAAAAAGCTTTCAATTATCTTCATTATAAAGGTAATAATAATAACAATCTTTTGCCAGGTGTTGCTTATAACTAACATTAATATCATGTTGTGCTTATTGTTTTGAAGAAAATGTGAAACTCGAATAGGTTTTCTTTTTAATACGTATCATTTCTCGGTGTTTTCAGCGGCGCCATGGCACTTTTGAGTCTCTCGTGACGTCTCTATCAACATTTTTATGGCCGGTGGCAAACGATTTTACAAAAACTGTAAGTTTTTTCTATTTTTCCTTAACGAATTCATTTTGTTCATCACTTTATTGTAGCTAAAGTTTGACAACCACAAATATATTTTTCTACACTCACAGATTACTAAACGTGATTATTCAGTTAACAGAATAGATTTCTATTCACTAACATACACAGTATCGACCACAAAGCACTTATCTCTTCTAGAAACCCTATGTCAAGGTTAGACACTTAAACCAAAGAAACACCACCTTGAGGATGGAGTAGAAACTAAAATGACAATTGACAGATGGCGGAAAATTCAACTTGTAATTTTTAGTAGTAGAGGTAGTAGTTCTAAATTTTATATGATTTTCACATTAATTATTTTATAAAATAAAGTATAAAACAAGTATGACCGTCGATAGAATCTCTAAAAATTAAATAACTCACCGAAATAAATGCAATATCTCTTTATCGCCGTCACACTTCGCACTTTTATTATAAATAAAGCTTTTTACAACGTTAATTTCCAAAATTCAAGTCACTAATTCTCGTTGGCGTATTAAATTTGGACGAACAACGCTCTGACATGTGATGCCCTAAACTGTCAATAATTTCGAAGTGGGATTATGCGCGGTGTCTTATATTCCATCTAAGGGTTGTATAACCTAACTTAACTAGGGTTGCAATCTTAAAAACTAAAGTTCTTCTCGGGTCTGATAACTTAATTATATTAAACTAAAGGTGCGTTTATCTGACAGTTATTACATGATGTCAGAGACTCTCAGCTATAAGTGTCGACATCTCTATACCAACAGATGTAAACACTAATTTTTTGCAAGTTCAATCAATCAATAATAAAAAATGCATCCAATGTGGATATTTAAACGTAGCAACTGATATTTATTGGCTTTTAGCATGTTGTGTTAAGGTGTCGCTAGCAATATAACAAGCTTTGAATAAAAACCGATGTTTAATTTGAATCAAAATACATATAAGAAGGTACCCGCAGGCCATCCCATACAGAAACTGGTCTATGTTCATTCCAAGCGTGCGTTAGATGGCGTTAAAATCAAATGTATTGCATTGGACAATCTCATTACTAAATTTCCCATAATGGTACTTTCACTATTTAAATTAGGCATTCAAAATAAATGCTGTACACTCTAACAAACTTATATATACTTAGGATGGGATAACCTTCAATATTAATAAGTAAACGAACAAAAAACGAACAAAAAACGAACTGTTCTGTTCTAAATTTTTGATAGTCTTACATTAATGATTTTGCAATTAACATTCCATCAAGATTATTCTGTAATTCATCCTTTAAAGGTAAAAAATTGTCGACCCCGAAACTAGTCATCTATTGTAAGCTAGAAAGTAAGATCGAGTTATTTGCAGGAAAAATAATGTGTTTTTGTTTTAATTTGTTGAATGAATGTATCCGAGTCTACTTTTTATAATAAATATTTAACCCTATTATGTAATTTTGTTGTTTCTTTTTAACTGGCAATAATAATAGTTGTAACTTAATATAAAACTTAAAAATTAGATCTATTAGACGAAATTTGAAGGTTATTTAGGATTATGTACCCAAAAATTACCCAGAAATCGTAGGCACCATAATATATGTTGGCTTGTGTACTGTATTAACCTAATTCAAGAAACTGATTATCGAATGTTCCTCTTATACAGCATAGTCAATTGACTTTAATTTTGCTTTACACACTTACGTACCAATAATGCAATTATTAATACAATACCTATTGTTTCAGGCTCCAGCAAGGAGTTGGATAGAGGCAACTTTTCACAAACGGGAATGTTCGAGATACATCCGCCATACAAAAGATCCATTAAGGTATATATTTTAAGCCTTTACAAACCATTATTACTTTTGTAATTGTCTTAATATCGGAGTGTAATCTTTTACAATCTTCCGATACGGTGTCAAAAAAACACGGGTAATACCAGATGGAGATAGGGAATATTCCAGGAGTCAAAACGTTTTAAAAATAAGAGGTTCTTATTAACTGACTATCAAACGATTTGTTACTGAATATAACATCTAAGAGTAAGTAACGCTATTATAGATACGTCGATGACATTGATACTATGAACTGGCGATCCATTTTTAAGAATTAGTCACAGCACAACAACTCCTTGCGATACAAAGTTGTTATTTTGTAGATATGATTTACAAAAGTCAGTTAACTAACTTAAAAATAGGTCAGGAGCTGAACATAGGGATTTACCCTCGTATTTAATTTAAAAAATTTATAACAAAACCTAAATTTATACATTGTTTTAAATGCAAGATATTTTTCTGTTTACCATTCCATTATTTGACTCGTGATTGTTGGCGAAATATTATCTTATCAACTAAGCCGGTATCTTTCAGCTGATATACCGAAAATTTAACTACAGATTCTTTTTAAATGGTTACAATTTTGAATATTTTATTAAATGTTACTATAATTTGTTTGTGTTAAAAGTAAATTTTTTGTCATAACTTTTTAATATGATTTATTTTCTTCTAAACGAGGCGGAGATTCAATAAAGGGTTAAAAACCTCTGAGTTATATCGAAACAATTCCTCAAATAAATTCTACTCTTAATGTTCATAATTTAAACTAATCAGACAGTGGTTATTTGTTTTCATTCTCTTTTTTCATTCTTTTGATTTAAAATTAAGTCTTTAATTGCAATGACCTTAATATTTTATAAAGCTACTTTGTGATGCGTGACATGAACGAGCGTGTGAAAAACATTCGAAACATAATATTTTATTTGTCACATTGCTTTTCAGAATTATATATAAAAAAGAAATGATTTATGCTGCCCATTAATAATATATGATGAAAAATATAATTTAAAGGGTAGCTTGTTTATCAGTCGATAAGAATTTAGCCTCTTTTAATATTTAACAATGTAAAATATGAAAAACCACACAACACTTATTTTAAAGTACAAATGTTTACATAAGCGGATTTCTTCTATAAATCGATCGATATTTCCTAGATTTCTTATTATTAAATATGTAGATGTTGCTGTGGAAGAACATTGGACCAACATAAGCATGCAGTGGACACGCAACCTCCGCAACCAGGGGAATTATGGTATCCGAGCCGGTGCACAATAGCAAGTCCCACAGATGCCTATGGAATACTAGAATTCCAAGGTGGTCCACATCCTTCCAAGGCCCAGGTAACTAATTATTCAAATAATTCGAAAACAAATCTCAAAAATCTCCCTACGAATTATTAAGACCATCCCCGGACCCCAAAGGTGCATCTTTGATTTGTACACATTTTTCTCTACACAAATGCCTTTCTATTGTTTTTCTTTCTTTAGTGTCATTGTTATAGAGAATTTTGAACAGTATTGTTAACGGTATCTTCCACAACTAAAAATGAAATGAAACAAGTGAGTAATTCATAAAGTAATTGCTAAAACTGGATCGCTGACAGCTGGAGTATTTAAAACACCGATAAGTCTCCAGCCATGGTAGTTTTGCCACGTTCTAAGTAGGTGATCGAACTCACAGAACTCCTAAAACATTTATTCACCTATTCAATATTAATATACAGAATAATAAAAAAAAACACTTCCTATTGGAGTTATGTCAACTTTATAACGATATATTCATCTATAATACACACTGTTGCTTCTTATTATGAATAGGCTAAATATAACAGACCTTACTCCTTACCAAAAAGGCTTTACTAAGGGATTAAGGATGTCTTGTAGTCAGTAATTGGGTTAGTTATTGTTATTATCCCCTGAATAAGCTAGTAAAAAACAGGGTGGTCATTGTCCATTCGTGATCTACACAATTCTCAGGGTAAGTGACCGGAATGCACTCCAAAAGGGCCACAGTTGAAGGTGTAAATCGCTTAGTCTTCCGTCCGACTAATCGCTCAGTCTTCCGTCCGACTAATCGCTCAGTCTTCCGTCCGACTAATTGTTCAGTCTTCCGTCCGACTAATCGTCCAGTCTTCCGTCCGACTAGATCGCGTAAGTATCCATGCCGTGAGAATTGTTCTTCAATCTGTTTGGCACTGTGGAGGATCCTGTTACTGTCTTATATAAATGTTAAGATTTTGATGTGTTCTTTCGTGTTTTCTACGTAAACCCCCTTGACTTTTTATAGACGGATTTCCGCTGGATCCATATTGAGTATTTTTGACTTGTAGATACTTTTTTGAATGCCATATTTTATCAAAAGCATGCGCAATATCGAGGGAGATGGCTGAACAGACTTCTTTGTTTTCTAATGCTTTTTCAGTCGCATTTGAGATTCTATAAACCTGATCTATAGTTGAATGGTTTTCTCTAAAGCCAAACTGGTAATCTGGAATTAGTTCCTTTCTTCAATGATGGGTTTTAGTCTTTTTATTACTATTTTTTCAACTAGTTTCGATATTATATGACAAAACTTTGTTCGGAGGTTTTCCTGGATTGAGGATCATAATGACTTTAGATTATTTCCACAATCTAGGGCCATACCTTAGTTTGAATGAGAAATTAAACAGGTGTGTAAGTTTAATTATGGCTTTCTTCGGAAGTTGTTTTAAGATTTCTCCTGTAATTAATTTCTTAGGATTAATATTTGTTTTTATATTTTCTGCAATTCCCTTTGGAGAGGTTGGTCTGATAATTGAGGAGCTCAGTTCGGCAATTCTTCTCCTTCATTTGGTTGGAAGGTATTTTGTAAGTGCGTTGCAAATTTATTTACTTTTTGTATATTATTTCTAGCCCAGTTGCCATCTGTATTTCTGATTGGAGTATTCTGCACAGTGAGCCTTTTTAATCACTTTGTGGCTTTCCATAAAGAATTTTATGACCCTCTCATGTGGGTGACTAATTTCTCTGGGAGGTATATCAATTGGGCTTCGGGAAATTGATTTATAGAATCTACAGATTCTTTGAAGGTGTCTGATTCTTCCGCTGTCATTTTGTAGACTAGATTAAGGTGTTTCTTATTCTAAAAAACATTTAAAAAATTATGTTTTCTTTGCTGTAGTACATAAGAGTTTCTCATGATACGAAACCTGAACACCTAATGCAGTTGATAACTCGAGAATGGACGCTCGAATTGCCTAAACTGTTAATATCCATCCAAGGCGGCAAATCGAACTTCGAACTACCGCCCAAACTCAAAAAAGTACTCAGAAAGGGCCTTCTCAAAGCCGCCAGATCAACAGGAGCGTGGATATTCACTGGCGGTACCAATACAGGTCAGTACTCACAAGATTACGAGTATTAACTAGATTCGTAGATTTTTGTTAGTGGGTCGTAGAAAAAATATACTGTAGTCGACTCGAGCGGAGTATCCATATCGATGTTTTTCGTATTTTAGGTGTCACAAAACACGTGGGAGATGCATTATTGTTAGAAAGATCTCAAAGAACGGGTAGAGTAAATACTTTAGGAATAGCCCCGTGGGGCATAGTTGAAAATAATCAAGATCTCATTGGTCAACACACCGAAGTACCATATCATTCCATATCATCGCCAAGGTAAGATTTCATTTGTTTTAAAGTTTACTTTAAGGTTTGCTATTTAAATTTGTCTCCAAGAAATATATATTACTTTATAGGAAATAATAATCATTGTATAAATTGTTTGAGTGATGAACACACTACAAAAGATTGTTTATCAACAAAATCATCATATTTTATTACATTTTAATCAAAATAATATACAAAACTTTCATATAACAAACCACATGGTCAAAATCAAGCTAATACTTCACTAAATAAATATTTTAATTCTCATGAAAACACAACTCGGCTAACGACTCGTGAATATATGTCGCAACAAAAGTTGCCTCGCATCGAATAAACCTTTTGTTTCATTCGTAACAGCACAATTTTTTATAACCTCAAAAAAGATGAATCATTTTTATAGTTAGAGGTGTCTCATAGATACTGGGAGTTCAATCACGTTTATAACAAGACATTCTAGCAAATAATGTGATAATAATTTACAAATTTCTGGTATTTTGAATGATTGTAGAGAAGTTTACAAATCCATAAATGTTAATGTCAGGTCTGCTGATAACTCTGGGAACTATAGAGAATTTTATTTATATAGGATTATTTTTATTTGTTTTTAATTGCATTTTTAATAAATAACTAATGGTATTTGTAATAATTATATTTTTTAATAGTTTGGTGAAGTAGATAGAACTACACATTCTAGAATATCAAAAGAACTAATAGTCCAATCTGAATTTTCTTTAGCCTTATATTCCCGTTGGAATTCCGTCTGTACAGCCACTAAAACAAGTCTCATTGGACCAGTTTTGGCTTTAATCCATTTCAAAGCTAATACTCTCATAGCGATGGTACAATCTCTCTGCGATGCTTTATTCGATTTAAAACTCACAGTTATTGGTACTAGAATTTTGATATCTTCAGGTTTTAATTTTATAATAGCCTTTTGAGTTTTAGTCAACCTTGTTTTCATAACTTCTTTCAATTTTTGCCTAGCAGAAAGTGTCATTAGATCCTCCAATTCTTCAGGTTGATTATTATGAATGATCTCGGTTATTCTACATACGGCTTTCGATGTACCGTATATGAAAGCGCCTTCTGTAAATTCCGGATCCCACGTTTTTTGAAGATATTTCAATTGGAATTTGGTTTTCAACCATCGAAATACGTGCGGAATGTAAATTAAATCGGGAGTTTTCGGCGTTTTGCTGTAATATCTCACCATAGTTTGCGTTGTAAAAGCTGTGGGACGGTTAGTGAGTGTTCTGTTTAAAATATTACATGTTCTGTAGGTTAATCTTCTAGAACAGATGTTACATAGTATTCTTGATATCATTATTTGTGAATTTTGTTTCCTTTTAAGGAATGTAATGGAATTTCTCCATTAGTTTTGATGGTTGTATGCTGGAAATTTTGAGATTTTTTTATTTTTAAATGTGTATTGACATTTTGTAATTTTCTGATATAAAACTGACAGGTTTTAACGTGAAGTAATCAATCGACAAGTCAAAATCTATAAAGGGTGTTCATAAGATGATTTTGAAAGGGAAAATCCAGCCAAACATGAACGGGCTAATTTTTTTAGACCATTTTAGACCTTCTGAAACATATTTCTGAAAAATGCTTCGCGAAATTCTTTAAACTATGTTTTTTTTTTACCGTAACACTTCCAAACAAAAAAAAAATTTTTGCCGACTTAATTTCTCTACATCCAAGGTAATTTCCAAATCATTAGACTTTTTTTTTCAACCCGTATTTGTTCTGATTTCCCGGCAACACTGTACATTCTATAGGGTCTGAAGCCATTGCGGATTGCTATTTCATGCTCATTGAGTTTGAATAAAATTTTAAAATGTCCAATCGACTCATTGATTTAAGTTAGTTTCGTTTGTTATTTGTAGATCAAAAAATGCAGCCTTAAACAACCGACATGCCTATTTTCTATTGGTAGACAACGGAACGGTGGGGAAATATGGCGCAGAAGTGATTCTCAGGCGAAAATTAGAAAAGTACATATCCAAACAAAGGCTGTATCCATGTAAATATATATTTTTTGTTTTAAAATTTATCAATAATAAGCCATTGATTTTCTTTTAGTTACTCAGAGTCCTATACCGATAGTATGTTTAGTAATAGAAGGTGGTACCAACACCATAAGAGCGGTACTGGAATACGTTACTGACGAACCTCCAGTGCCGGTAGTTGTTTGTGATGGTTCGGGTAGAGCAGCAGATATTATAGCTTTTATGTGCAAGTAAGTAATACTTAAGAAGGCGTGTTCCGCGGTTATTTATGTAAATAATAATAATTTCCCCATAATTCACCCCCTTACAAATTCCGGGGCGACTTAAAGATGATTGATAGTGACATTTGACTTACAGCTAAGGAAAACCTGGAAAACACCACCCACATTGTCAAAACTGTAAAAAATAAAAAACATACAAAATTAAACAATTAATTGAGCAATTAAATAAATAAGCAAATAATAATTAATCAATTAATAAAACATTTTAACAATTAATTAAACAATTAAAAACAATTTAAAACAATTAAAAACCAATTAGAAACAATTTAAAACAATTAGAAACCAATTAGAAACAATTAGAAACAATTAGAAACAATTAGAAACAATTAGAAACAATTAGAAACAATTAGAAACAATTAGAAACAATTAGAAACAATTAGAAACAATTAGAAACAATTAGAAACAATTAGAAACAATTAGAAACAATTAGAAACAATTAGAAACAATTAGAAACAATTAGAAACAATTAGAAACAATTAGAAACAATTAGAAACAATTAGAAACAATTAGAAACAATTAGAAACAATTTGAAACAATTTGAAACAATTTGAAACAATTTGAAACAATTTGAAACAATTTGAAACAATTTGAAACAATTTGAAACAATTTGAAACAATTTGAAACAATTTGAAACAATTTGAAACAATTTGAAACAATTTGAAACAATTTGAAACAATTTGAAACAATTTGAAACAATTTGAAACAATTTGAAACAATTTGAAACAATTTGAAACAATTTGAAACAATTTGAAACAATTTGAAACAATTTGAAACAATTTGAAACAATTTGAAACAATTTGAAACAATTTGAAACAATTTGAAACAATTTGAAACAATTTGAAACAATTTGAAACAATTTGAAACAATTTGAAACAATTATAAACAATTATAAACAATTAGAAACAATTTGAAACAATTAAACTCAATTAAAAACAATTGAATAATTAAAAGATTTGATACATTCAAATTGGAAAATTTAAAAATTCCAAAACCCCAAAATTCAAAATTTTTAAAATCTAATTAAAAAATAAATTATGAAATTCGAATATTTCAAATTTTAAAAATTAATTAAAAAAGAAATTGGGAAATTAAAAAATTATACAATTTATTAAAAAAGAAATTGGAAAATTTAAAAATTATACTATTAATTAGAAAAGAAATTCAAACATTCATATTTTCATGAATAATTAAAAAATAAATTCAAAACATTACATAATTACACAATTAAATAAATAATTAAACAACTACGCTAGTAATTAAACAAATATTTAAACCATTAAGCAAGTAATTCATTTAATAATTAAACAATTAGATAATTAAATAAATAAACAATGAAATAATTAGACAATTAAATAATTAAACCATTAAGCAAATACTTAATTAAATAATAAGACAATTAAGTAATTAATTAAACAATTAAGCAATTAGATAATTAGACAAGTACATAATTAAATAATTAAACCATTAAGCAAGTAATCAAATAATTAAGCAATTAATTAAACCGTTAAGCAAGTAATTAAACAATTAGATAATTATCTAATTAGACAATTAAACAAATAATTAAGCAGTTAAGCAATTAAGTAAGTAGACAATTAAGATAACAAATAATTAAAAAATTAAACAATTAAAGAATCAATTAAGTAATTAATTAAACAATTAAACCATTATCAAGTAATTAATTAAACAATTAGATAATTGGACAATTAGATAAATAAATAATTAAACAATTAGACAATTAATTAATTAAACAATTGAAACAATTAAGCAATTAAACAATCAAATAATTGAATAAATAAATGAATAATTAATTGAATAATTGATTAATTGAATAATTGAATAATTGAATAATTGAATAATTGAATAATTGAATAATTGAATAATTGAATAATTGAATAATTGAATAATTGAATAATTGAATAATTGAATAATTGAATAATTGAATAATTGAATAATTGAATAATTGAATAATTGAATAATTGAATAATTGAATAATTGAATAATTGAATAATTGAATAATTGAATAATTGAATAATTGAATAATTGAATAATTGAATAATTGAATAATTGAATAATTGAATAATTGAATAATTGAATAATTGAATAATTGAATAATTGAATAATTGAATAATTGAATAATTGAATAATTGAATAATTGAATAATTGAATAATTGAATAATTGAATAATTGAATAATTGAATAATTGAATAATTGAATAATTGAATAATTGAATAATTGAATAATTGAATAATTGAATAATTGAATAATTGAATAATTGAATAATTGAATAATTGAATAATTGAATAATTGATTAATTGAATAATTGACTAATTGAATAATTCCAAAATTTGAATTTAAAAAACTCAAAATTTGAAATTTCAAAAATTTTAAAAATTTCCAAAATTTTTAAAATATTCAAAATTCCTAAAATTTGAAATTTAAAAATTCGAAAAGTAAAAATTTCAAAAATTTTAAAATTTTTTAAAAATTTATAAAATATCCAAAATTTGAAATTTAAAAATTCGAAAACTCAAAATTTGAAAATTTCAAAAATTTCAAAAATTTCAAAAATTTCAAAAATATCAAAAATTTCAAAAATTTCAAAAATTTCAAAAATTTCAAAAATTTCAAAAATTTTAAAAATTTCAAAAATTTCAAAAATTTCAAAAATTTCAAAAATTTCAAAAATTTCAAAAATTTCAAAAATTTCAAAAATTTCAAAAATTGCAAAAATTGCAAAAATTTCAAAAAATTCAAAAATTTAAGTTCTACTTTCGCTTAATTTACACCTATTTAACCACTATTACTATTTCAGATATGAATGTTCAGTACTCAAATCTATGAAAGAATATATAATTGCTACCATTCAAAGAGCGTTCGAAGTTGGTGCCGAATTAGCTGAAGGCCTATTTTTAGAATTGATGCACTGCGTAGAAAATAAACATTTGGTAAGTTCCAATATGATTATTTGATCATTTAAGTTCCAAATGGTAAATTTTTGGTTATATTTTATTATTCCCTCTGTCTTATTTGGCCTTTGAGGCTCAACTTGTCCGATTATCATACATAATTGAGATAAAACATGTGACGACTACACAAATTCCAAAATTCTAAAATTTTAATTTCTAAAATTACAAAATTAAAAAATTCCAAAAACCAAAAATTCAAAAAATTGCAAAATTTCAAAAAGTAAAATATTCAAAAAGTCAAAAATTCAAAAAATTACAAAATTTAAAAATTCCAAAAATACCCAAATTTCAAAAAGTCAAATATTCAGAAACAAAAATTTCAAAAAGTCAAATATTCAAAAACTCAAAAATTCAAAAAATTACAAAATTTAAAAAATACCAAAATTTCAACATTACAAAATTGCAAAATTCACAAAATTTAAAAAATTCCAAAATTCAAATATTCAAAAACTAAAAAATTCTAAAATTACAAAATTCAAAAATTCAAAAAATTAAAATATTCAAAAACTAAAAAATTCAAAAAATCAAAAATTCAAAAAACTCAAAAATTCAAAAATTGTTTTTTTAGATAACGGTATTTCGAATAGCAGACAAATACGACCAAAAACCCCAAGAACTGGACCAAATAATCTTAACGGCTTTATTCAAATCTCAACATCTCTCGCCGACCGAACAACTGAGTCTCGCGCTCACTTGGAATCGCGCCGACATAGCGCGATCCGAAATCTTCGTGTACGGCCAAGAATGGCCGCCGGGAGCGCTGGAAGACGCCATGATAAAAGCCTTGGAGCACGATCGTTGCGATTTCGTGAAATTATTGTTGGAAAACGGAGTGAGCATGAGGAAGTTTTTGACGATACCGAGATTGGAGAATCTTTATAATAGTAAACAAGGGCCTAGTAATACTTTGGGGTATATTCTCAGGGATGTTCGGCCTCATATACCGCCGGGGTATGTGTATACTCTGCACGATATTGGGCTAGTTATAAATAAATTGATGGGTGGTGCCTACAGGTGAGTAAATAAATTAATATTTTTAGTGTAAGATAAAATGAACAAATAATATTACTAAAAATTATCCATTTTTACTTTTTGTCAGTGTATAACGGTGAAATAGTCAAATTTTGATTGTATTTAAAAATTCAAATGTTCTAAAATTTTAATTCGCAAAATTACAAAATAGCAAAATTCAAAAAAATTCTAAAATTTCCAAAATTGCAAAATTCAAAAAAATTCTAAAATTTCCAAATGTCAAATATTCAAAAACTCAAATTCTAAAATTTTTATTTTCATAATTCCAAAGTTCAAAAAATTCCAAAAGTCAATTATTCAAAAACTCAAAAATTCCAAAAATCAAAAGTTCCAAAATTGCAAAATTCAAAAATTTAAAAAAACAAAAACAAAATTTTCAAAAGTCAAATATTCAAAAATTCCAAAATTTTAATTTTCAAAATTACAAAATTGCAAAATTCAAAAAATTCCAAAACTAAAAACTCAAAAATTTCAAATTTAAAAATTCAAGAAGTTCCAAAATGTCCAAAAGTCAAATATTCAAAAATTCCAAAATTTTCATGTCAAATATTAAAAAATTCAAAAAATTTCAAAATGTCAAATATTTCAAAATTTTAATTTCAAAATTTAAAAATTTCAGAATTTTAATTTCCAAAATTACAAAATTCAAAAATTTCAAAATTTTAATTTCCAAAAGTCAAATATTCAAAAATTTTAATTTCCAAAATTACAAAATTGTAAAATTCAAAAATTTTAATTTTCAAAATTACAAAATTCAAAATTTTCAAAAGTCAAATATTCAAAAATTCTAAAATTTTAATTTTCAAAATTACAAAATTCCAAAATTTTAATTTTCAAAATTACAAAATTGCAAAATTCCAAAATTTTAATTTTCAAAATTACAAAATTCAAAAATTCCAAAATTGCAAAAATTCCAAAATTTTCAAAAGACAAATATTCAAAAATTCCAAAATTTTAATTTTCAAAATTACAAAATTGCAAAATTCCAAAATTTTAATTTTCAAAATTACAAAATTGCAAAATTCAAAAAATTCCAAAACTAAAAACTCAAAAATTTCAAAATTCCAAAATTTTAATTTTCAAAATTACAAAATTGCAAAATTCCAAAATTTTGATTTTCAAAATTACAAAATTCAAAAATTCCAAAATTTTCAAAAATCAAATATTCAAAAATTCCAAAATTTTAATTTTCAAAATTACAAAATTGCAAAAATTCCAAAATTTTCAAAAGTCAAATATTCAAAAATTCCAAAATTTTAATTTTCAAAATTACAAAATTGCAAAATTCCAAAATTTTAATTTTCAAAATTACAAAATTGCAAAATTCAAAAAATTCCAAAACTAAAAACTCAAAAATTTCAAAATTCCAAAATTTAAAAATTCAAGAAGTTCCAAAATGTCCAAAAGTCAAAAATTCAAAAATTCCAAAATTTTCATGTCAAATATTAAAAAATTCAAAAAATTTCAAAATGTCAAATATTCCAAAATTTTAATTTCAAAATTCAAACATTTCAGAATTTTAATTTCCAAAATTACAAAATTCAAAAATTTCAAAATTTTAATTTTCAAAATTACAAAATTTCCAAAAGTTAAATATTCAAAAATTTTAATTTCCAAAATTACAAAATTGTAAAATTCAAAAAATTTCAAAATTTCCAAAAGTCAACTATTCAAAAATTCAAAAACAAAAAAATTAATTTAATTTAATAAAACGTAATAAAAAATATTAGAAAATTATTAAAAAATATTAAAAAAAAAAATAAAAAAATGGAACATTAAAAAAATAAAATAGATTAAGCTTAATAAAGATTAATAAAAATTAATAGAAATTTAATAAACATTAATAGAAATTTAATAAAAATTAATAAACATTTATAAAAACTAATCAAATTTATTAAAAATTGATAAAAAATTAATAAAATTTAATAGAAAATAATAAAAATCAATAAAAATTTATTAATATTAATAATAATAAAGATTAATAAAAATTAATAGAAATTTAATAAAAATTAATGAAAATTAATGAAAATTAATAAAAAATAATAAAATTTAATAGAAATTAATAAACATCAATAGAAATTAATAAAAATTAATAAAAATCAATAGGAATTAATAAATATTAATAACAATTAATAGAAATTTAATAAAAATCAATAGGAATTAATAAATATTAATAATAATTAATAGAAATTTAATAAAAATCAATAAGAATTAATAAATATTAATAACAATTAATAGAAATTTAATAAAAATCAATAGGAATTAATAAATATTAATAACAATTAATAGAAATTTAATAAAAATCAATAGGAATTAATAAATATTAATAATAATTAATAGAAATTTAATAAAAATCAATAGGAATTAATAAATATTAATAACAATTAATAGAAATTTAATAAAAATTAATAAAAATCTATACAAATTAGAATCTAATTAATACAAATTCGTATTACATTTTGTATAGATATTGAAAATTAAATAAATATACAGAAATTTAGAAAAAATTCATAGTTATATCGAACAGACGTAATAATTAATACACTTTTCATTGGCAGAGCTCTTTATACTAGAAGAAAATTCAGACCAATCTACGCCAAAATTATGAACAAAGGACACAGCATGGCCAACACGTCCGGACGAAATTTAGGAGCCATGGGACTCATACCCGGTTGTATACCGGGAGGCGCCAGTCCTTGTTTATTCGATTACCCGTTTAACGAACTACTTGTAAGTATGTCTTACGTACTAGATAAATAAATAGATTTTACCGAGAAAATGTTTCTTTAATTTATTAAAATGGTGTGTATTTTATTCTTGTATATGTTGTTTCTTGCAAAAAGAAGTAATTAATAATAAACAACGACTACATTAGGTATTTTTCTAGAATTACCTAGTATTTTTTTCCTAATACTTTTTTTCCTAATACTTTTTTCCTTATACTTTTTTCCTAATACTTTTTTGCTAATATTTTTCTTTCCTGATACTTTTTAGTTCCTAATATTTTTTTCCTAATACTTTTTTTCCCTAATATTTTTTTCTTAATACTTGTTTTTCTTAATACTAGTTTTTCTTAATACTTGTTTTTTCTAGTACTTTTTTTCTAATACTTTTTTCTAACACTTTTTTTCTAATACTTTTTAATTCCTAATATTTTTTTTTCTAATACTTTTTTTCTAATATTTTTTTCCTAATACCATTTAATATTTTTTTCTTAATACTTTTCCTAATATCTAAATTTCCTAATACTTTTTTTCCTAATACTTTTTCCTAATACTTTTTTTCCTAATAGTTTTTTTCCTAATAATTTTCTTATTCCTAATACTTTTTCTTTAAACGATTTTGATTTAATAATTTTAACCTCTATTGTAATGTAGATATGGGCGGTTCTTATGAAAAGACACAAAATGGCGTTACTAATGTGGCAACATGGAGAAGAGGCTTTAGCCAAAGCGTTGGTAGGTTGCAAGCTTTACAAAGCGATGGCCCACGAAGCCGCAGAAGATGACATGGAAACGGAAATTTACGAAGAACTGCGTGCTTATGGAAAAGAATTTGAAAATATTGGTAAATATTAATACTATTATTTTTTTATAAACTATTATAAAACTATTATAAAACTACTATAAAACTGTTTTAAAACTATTATAAAACTAATATAAAACTATTATAAAACTACTATAAAACTGTTTTAAAACTATTATAAAACTACTATAAAACTGTTTTAAAACTATTATAAAACTGTTTTAAAACTATTATAAAACTGTTTTAAAACTATTATAAAACTAATATAAAACTGTTTTAAAACTATTATAAAACTGTTTTAAAACTATTATAAAACTAATATAAAACTGTTTTAAAACTATTATAAAACTGTTATAAAACTGTTTTAAAACTATTATAAAACTATTATAAAACTATTATAAAACTGTTTTAAAACTATTATAAAACTAATATAAAACTGTTTTAAAACTATTATAAAACTATTATAAAACTGTTTTAAAACTATTATAAAACTAATATAAAACTGTTTTAAAACTATTATAAAACTGTTATAAAACTACTATAAAACTGTTTTAAAACTATTATAAAACTTTTAAAACTATTATAAAACTGTTTTAAAACGATTATAAAACATAAAACTTTTAAAACTATTATAAAACTAAACTAATATAAAACTATTATAAAACTGTTGTTAAACTCATAAAACTATTATAAAGCTGTTTCTTTTTTTTTTTTTTATATTTTTTTTGTTTTTTCTTTTTCGTTTTCCTTTTTTGTTTTTATGTTTTTCGTCTTTTTTTTTTAGTTTTTCATTGTTCTGTTTTTCTTTTTTCTTTTTTTCTTGTTTTTTTTTTGTTTTTTTCTTTTTTGTTTTTTTCTTTATTTTTGTTTCTTTTTTTTTTGTTTTTTCGTATTTTTTGTTTTTTCGTATTTTTTCTTTTTTTGTTTTCTCTTTCTATTTCCTTTTTTTTTTGTTACTTTTTTTTTGTTACTTTTTTTTTGTATTTCTTTTTTTTGTATTTTTTTTGTTTTTTTTTTCTTTTTTGTTTTTTTTTTTTTTTTCTTTTTTTTGTTTTTTTTTTTGTTTTTTTTTTCTTCTTTGTTGTTTTTCTTTTTTTTTCGTTTTTTTTTTTTCTTTTTTGTTTTTTATTTGTTTTTTTAGTGTTTTTTTGTTTTCCTTTTTACTTTTTGGTTTTTCTTTTTTCTTTCTTTTTTGTTTGTTTTTTTGTTTGTTCTTTCTTGTTTTTTTTTGTTTTTTCTTTCTTGTTTTTTTTTTGTTTTACTATTTTTTATTCTTTTTTGTTTTTTATTTTTCTTTTTTTTTTTTTATTTTTTTTTTTTGTTTTTTCTTTTTCTTTTTTTTTGTTTTTTTGTTTTTTTTGTTTTTTTTTTGTTTTTTTCTTTATTTTTTTTTTCTTTTTTTTGTTTGTTTTCTTTTGTTTTTTCGTAATTTTTTCTTTATTTTTTGGTTTTTCTTTTTTTGTTTTCTCTTTCTATTTTCTTTTTTTTTGTTACTTTTTTTTTTGGTTTTTCTTTTTTGATATTTCGTTTTTTTTCTTCATTTTTTTTGTTTTTTTTTTTTTTTTTTTTTTTTTTCTTTATATTTTGGTTTTCCTTTTTCATTTTGTTATTTCTTGTTTTGTTTTTTGTTTTTATTTTGTTTTTTTTAGTTTTTTCTTTTTTAAATTTCTTTTTTTGTTTTTGTTCTTTATTTTTTTTGTTTTTTATTTTTCTTTCTTTTTTATATTTTCCTTTTCTATTCCTTTTACTTTTTTCTTTTTTTCTTCTTATTGTATTTTAGCTATGTAATTATTAAACATTAATTAACTTTCAGCCTTGGAAGTATTAGACTACTGCTATCGACAAGACGACGACCAAACTCAACAATTGCTCACTTGCGAACTACAAAATTGGTCGGGACACACTTGCCTGAGTTTAGCCGTAACCGCCAATCATAGGGCACTCTTGGCTCATCCTTGTTCTCAAATTATCCTCGCTGATCTCTGGATGGGAGGATTACGCACAAGAAAAAATACAAACATAAAGGTAGGATTTTTTTATAGATTCATACACTTGGCGTTACCGTGCAACACTTGGTTGTCCCTTTTACTCGTACGGTTTTCGATAGGAAATTAAAATGAAAATTAACTAATTTTCTCTAATTACCAACATAATCGTTTGCAGGTAATCCTCGGCCTAATATGCATGCCTTACATTTTCAAACTGGAATTTAAATCGAAAGAAGAATTACAATTGATGCCGCAAACGACTGAAGAACACATGGAACTGGAAAACGAAGACGACGATAAATCTGATTCGGATAAAAATCAAGATGGAGATGTAAGTAAAACTATTTAACAAATTTTTTAAGCTAAATATTTAATATTTCAAAATGATAAAAAGATATTCTTTGATATATGTATCAAATTTTATTATCTAGTTATTTTTGTAGACTAAGGTGGTTCGTAAACTTTACATTGAACTGTATAATCCGAAAGTAAGCATAATATAAATATGATCGCATCTATTTAGGCACTTTAATATGTACACGTACTCTCCTAGATAGCACGCACTTTATGGAGTCGAAACACCTGTAATAATGTCCGTTTATTGTGAAAGAAGAGGGGAATTTAAAATATTTAAAAAATAAAAAATATAAAAAATATAAACAATATAAAAAATATAAACATTATAAACAATATAAACAATATAAACAATATAAACAATATAAACAATATAAACAATATAAACAATATAAACAATATAAACAATATAAACAATATAAACAATATAAACAATATAAACAATATAAACAATATAAACAATATAAACAATATAAACAATATAAACAATATAAACAATATAAACAATATAAACAATATAAACAATATAAACAATATAAACAATATAAACAATATAAACAATATAAACAATATAAACAATATAAACAATATAAACAATATAAACAATATAAACAATATAAACAATATAAACAATATAAACAATATAAACAATATAAACAATATAAACAATATAAACAATATAAACAATATAAACAATATAAGCAATATAAACAATATAAACTAAACACTATAAACAATATAAAAAATATAAAAAATTTCAAAATTCAAAAACTCAAAAACTTAAATATTAAAAAATTCAAAAACTCAATTTAAAAAAATTAAAAAAAATTGAAATATTCAAAAATTAAAATATTTAAAAATTTTAAATACTCAATTTCAAAAATACGAAAAATTTAAAAAAATCACAAAATTATTTAAAAAATTAAAAAAAAAACAAATTCCAAAATGGAAATATTCAAAAAATCAAAAAATTCAAAAAACAAAATTTAAAAAAATAAAAAAAACTAAAATTAAAATATTGAAAAACTCAAAAATTTTAAAAAATTTAAAAGTACAAATTCAAAAAATTTAAAACATCACAAAATTATCTAAAAAATTCAAAAAAACTAAAATTCCAAAATGGAAATATTCATAAAATTTAAAAAATTAAAAAAATTTAAAAAATACCAAAATTCAAAAACTTAAAAATTTAAATATTAAAAACTCAATTTAAAAAATTCAAAAAATTAAAAAATCACAAAATTATCTAAAAAATTAAAAAAACCTAAAATTCCAAAATCAAAAAATTTAAAAAATTTAAAAAATTCAAAAAATTTAAAAATTTTAAAAATTAAAAAAACTAAAATTCCAAAATTGAAATATTCAAAAATTAAAATATTGAAAAATTAAAATATTGAAAAATTAAAAAAATTTGAAAAAATTTGAAAAAATTTGAAAAAATTTGAAAAAATTTGAAAAATTTTGAAAAAATTTGAAAAAATTTAAAAATACCAAAATTCAAAAATTTAAAAAATCACAAAATTATTTTAAAAAATCAAAAAATTTAAAAAATAAAAAAAAACTAAAATTCCAAAATTGAAATATTCAAAAATTCAAAAACTTTAAAAATTAAAATATCGAAAACTCAAAAAATTAAAAAAATTGATATAACTTTGATAAAACTTATAAAAATATGATAAAGCTATGATAAAACTTATAAACCTATGATAAAATTTATAAAATCATGATGAAATTTATAAAACTATGATAAAACTTATAAAAATATGATAAAGGTATGATAAAACTTATAAACCTATGATAAAATTTATAAAACTTTGATAAAACTTATAAACATATGATAAAATTTATAAAAATATGATAAAATTTATAAAACTATGATAAAACTTATAAAAATATGATAAAGGTATGATAAAATTTATAATAAAATTTATAGAATCATGATAAAATTTATAAAACTTTGATAAAACCTATAAAAATATGATAAAACTTATAAACATATGATAAAATTTATAAAAATATGATAAAATTTATAAAACTTTGATAAAACTTATAAAAATATGAAAAAGCTTATAAAAATATGAAAAAGCTTATAAATCTATAATAAAATTTTTAAAACTATGATAAAATTTATAAAACTATGATAAAACTTATAAAAATATGATAAAGGTATGATAAAACTTATAAACCTATGATAAAATTTATAAAACTTTGATAAAACTTATAAACATATGATAAAATTTATAAAAATATGATAAAATTTATAAAACTATGATAAAACTTATAAAAATATGATAAAGGTATGATAAAATTTATAATAAAATTTATAGAATCATGATAAAATTTATAAAACTTTGATAAAACCTATAAAAATATGATAAAACTTATAAACATATGATAAAATTTATAAAAATATGATAAAATTTATAAAACTTTGATAAAACTTATAAAAATATGAAAAAGCTTATAAAAATATGAAAAAGCTTATAAATCTATAATAAAATTTTTAAAACTATGATAAAATTTATAAAACTATGATAAAACTTATAAAAATATGATAAAGGTATGATAAAATTTATAAACCTATGCTAAAATTTATAAAACTATGATAAAATTTATAAAAATATGATAAAATTTATAAAACTTTGATAAAACTTATAAAAATATGAAAAAGCTTATAAATCTATAATAAAATTTATATAACTGTGATAAAACTTTTATAAAACTCATAAAAAAAATTTAAAACTCTTATAAAACTATTATAAAGCATTTGTAAAATTATAAATCTATTATAAATCTGTATAAAACTTTTTGCACTTTCTACATTACCTACTGCGCGGGTATTATCCCTAACATCCAAGGGCGTCCGGAGGGAGAGACTAGAAGGGGGATTGTCTCCCTGACTTTTTATTTCGTTTATTTATTATTATTTTTTATACATATATAATTCAGTTGTTGACAAACTGAAATATTTTTTACACGATCTCCCAGACTTTTTTTCCTGCGGACGCCCATGCTAATATCCCGTATAGCTCACAAGCATGTTAAATAAATAAAATGTAATACGTACTTAAGAAATATTTTTTAATTTTTAAATCTCCATGCATTAAATTGTTTTTCTTTTATTTAATAATAAAAAAAACCATAGGCGTAGCTTGACAAAATGTACATAATATCGCTTATTTTTATTCTGCTAATTCTATTCGCTCCCTTTTTTACCCCCAACACACATCGCTAACCAGTAATTTGTTATTATTTTAGAAGCGTACTAGAAGTTTGAGTATTCGGACCAAGTCGCCAAATCCACAGGGTGTTAAGGTAGCAAATCCTTATCCAAAAATGTCTTCTTAAATGTTGTCCGATGTCTTCTACAATTGTACAAAATTTTCCCTTGGCTTGGCTTTTTTAACATTACAAGACATTCTATCAGATTTTCGGTTAGATAATTGATTTAAAAAAAAAAAATATAAAAAAAAAATTATAAAAAAAAAATATTTATAAAAAAAAATTAAAAAATAAATTTATAAAAAAAAAAATTTATAAAAAAAAATTACAAAAAAAAATTTATAAAAAAAAAATTACAAAAAATTTATAAAAAAAAATTTATTAAAAAAAATTTAAAAAAAAAAAATAAAAAAAAATTTATAAAAAAAAAAAATTTTTAAAAAAATAAATTTATAAAAAAAAAATTATAAAAAAAAATTTATAAAAAAAAATAAATTTATAAAAAAAAATTATAAAAAAAATTTTTAAAAAAAAAATTTATATAAAAAAATAAATTTATAAAAAAAAATTTATAAAAAAAATTTATAAAAAAAAAATTATAAAAAAAAAAATTATAAAAAAAATTTATAAAAAAAAATTATAAAAATTAAATTTATAAAAAAAATTTATAAAAAAAAATTAAAAAAATTAATTTATAAAAAAAAATTAAAAAATTATTTTTTTATGTATCCAACTTTTAAACTTTAAAGTTGGATCTATAAAAAAATAATTTTTTAATTTTTTTTTATAAATTTATTTTTTTAATTTTTTTTTATAATTTTTTTTTATAATTTTTTTTTTTAATTTTTTTTTATAATTTTTTTTTTATAAATTTATTTTTTTTTATAATTTTTTTTTATAATTTTTTTTTTATAAATTTTTTTATAAATTTTTTTTATAAATTTTTTTTGTAAATTTATTTTTTTTATAATTTTTTTTTTATAATTTTTTTTTTATAAATTTTTTTTATAAATTTTTTTTTGAAACTTTAAAGTTGGATCTATAAAAAAATAATTTTTTCATTTTTTTTTTTATAAATTTTTTTTTGAAACTTTAAAGCTGGATCTATAAAAAAATAATTTTTTAATTTTTTTTTTATAATTTTTTTTTTTATTTTTTTTTTATAAATTTATTTTTTTTTATAAATTTATTTTTTTTTTTAATTTTTTTTTTATAAATTTTTTTTTAATAAATTTTTTTTTATAAATTTTTTTTTTATAAATTTTTTTTTATTTTTTTTACAATTTTTTTTTTATAATTTTTTTTTATGTTATAAATTTTTTTTTTAATCAATTAATTTAAATTTTGACGTATCAAAAGTTGAGAATCTCACTACTATTTGTAATTATCATTGATATGACTCCAGAAATGGTCAAAACGTTTCGGAACAACTGTTACTTCTTAATCTGATACTGTCTGTAATAATTGTCTCTTCTCTTAGCTTTTTCCCAGCTTTTAAGTGTATCTCCAACCGTTTCTTCTCTTCTGTCTCAATTGCAAAACGTGTTTTTACAGTTTCTACGTCACAATTCTCGTTTGACGTTTTATTTGCAGGCACTTCTGACCGAAAACTTTATTACCAGAGACACTATCGTTCACGAAAACGGAAAAATCCTTCCGGAATTCGAGGATCCTAAGTATAAACCACAATTCAGCAAAGGGCGAGAATTGAAAATGAAAAAGAAGTTGTACGAGTTTTATACGGCGCCTATTACGAAATTTTGGTCGAATTCGGTGAGTAAATTAATGTTTTTTATGTTGTTAAATGATCTTTTTCTGTTTTTTTTACAAATTATGAAAATTTTCAAAAAAAAAAATTCTCAAAATTGTGAAATTACTATTTAAAATACTCTTTGATTAATAAAAACTCAAAAATGTACTTGCGCCATCTCTTTTTCTCGACAAACTCTTTTTTACAGCCGAAATTCTTGATATAAATTTGAAAATTGGCTGCAGTACATCCCCCCCTTACTTATGAAACTTGTTTTCCAAACTGATACACCCAATGTTTTACTAATTAATATTTAATTAAAATAACAACTTGGCTCACAGAATTTTTTTTAAATGTTTATCTATAATGAAATTACCATTAAATACTCACTATTCCCCACTATTTTTCCAAAAAAAATCACCCTACGATTGCCCTGAAATTTCCCATTTTTTAATTTCCCACTATTTTCCAAAATATCCCTACAATTTTCTAAAATTCTCCCGTTTTTTAAATTCTACGAAATTTTTCCAAAATTCCCACGATTCCCACAATTTTTTTTTAATCCTTAAAATTTTCCCATAATTCCACACTATTTTTTCAAAATCCCACATAATTTCACAATTTTTCCTCTTTTCCCCTTAATTCCCCACTATTTTTTCAAAAATTCCCCTTCAATTCCTCACCATTTTACTGAAATCACTCATTTTAATTCCCCACTATTTTCCAAATGTTTTTAAAATTCCCCAGTTTTTTAATTCCTCGCTATTTTTCCAGAATCCCCACACTTCCCCCAATTCTTTTTAAATTTCCCCCACTCCCCACTCTTTCCAAAATCCACGGTTTTTTAATCCCCCAGAATTCCCCACTATGTTTCCGAAATCCTCACAATTTCACCATTTTTCTTTTCCCCACAATTCCTTACTATTTTTCCAAAATTCCCCCTACAATTCATCATTATTTTTTCAAAATCTTTCTACAATTCCCCACTTTTTCTGAAATATCCCATTTTTTAATGCCCCCACCATTTATCAAAATATTCCTACAATTTTTCTAAAATTCCCCCAGTGTTTTAATTTCCCGCTATTTTTCCAGAATCCCCACACTTCCCCCAATTCTTTTTAAATCCTCAAAATTTCCCTCCCGCCCCACTCTTTCCAAAATCCACGGTTTTTTAATCCCCAAGTTTCCCATTTCCCCCAGAATTCCCCACTATTTTTCCAAAATCCTCACAATTTCATCATTTTTCTTCTTTTCCCCACAATTCCTTACTATTTTTGGTAAGTTTCCCTTACAATTCAGCACTATTTTTCCAAAATTTTCCTACAATTCTCCACTATTTTTCTAAAATCTCCTATTTTGCAAAATATTTCTGCAATTTTTCTGAAATTCCCCCGTTTTTAATTATTTACTATTTTCCAAAATGTCCCTACAATTTTTATGAAATTCTCCCTTTTTTAATTCCCTGCTATTTTTCAAACTCCCCACAATTCCACCATTCTTTCTTTTCCCCACAATTCCCTACGATTTTTCCTATACCCCCACAATTTCTCAATTTTTCCTCTTTTCCCAACAATTTCCTATTATTTTTCCAAAGTCACCTTACAATTCCCCACTATATTTCCAAAATCCTCACTACAATTCCCAATACTTTTCTGAAATCTCCTATTTTTTAATTCCCCCACTATTTTCCAAAATACCCCTACAATTTTTCTGAAATTTCCTGCTATTTTTTCCAAAATCCCCAAATTTTCATTAAAATCCTCAAATTTTTCCCAATTTCCCCCATAATTCCCCACTATTTTTTTTAAATCTTTAATTTTTTTAATTCCTTACAAGTTCCCAATTTCTCACAGAATTACCCACTAGTTTTCCAAAACCCCCCACAATTCCACTATTTTTCCATTTTCACCACAATTCCCCACTATTTTTCCAAAAAATTCCCCTATAATTTCCCACTATTTAAAAAAACCTACTGTGTTGAAATATCCCATTTTTTAATTTCCCATTATTTTTCAAAATATTTCTACAATTTTTTTAAAATGTTCATCTATATTGAAATTACCATTAAATACTCTTTGATTAACCAAAATGTAACTATGCCACCTCTTTTCCTCGGAAAATCCATTTTTGCTGCTGAAATTCTCGATAAAAATAAATTGAAAATTTGCTGCATTACATCCCCCCCATTCGGACAAATTATATCACGGCAAATTCATTTTTGTATTTTATTTTAGATTGCTTACATCACCTTTTTGGTACTATTCAGTTACACGATTCTAGTACGAATGGATACCTATCCGATTTGGCAGGAATATTTCTCTATAGCGTTCATCCTATCTTTGGGCTGCGAGAAAATGCGCGAATTGATCTCGTCCGAACCCGTAGGCCTTTCGCAAAAACTCGCCGTTTGGTCGTGGAACATGTGGAATCCCTGCGATATGGCCGCCGTACTGATGTTCTCCATCGGAATGATTCTGCGCTTTCAAACCGACACTTTTAAGATCGGACGAGTAACTTATTGCACTAATTGCATCTACTGGTACTTGAGAATATTGAATATTCTTAGCGTCAACAAATATCTGGGTAAGGTACAATTTAATATGATAATTAACTGATAATAATTGATATTAATTGATATTCATATTAATTGATATTGATATTAATTCATATTAATTGATATTAAATGATATTAATTGATATTAATTGATATTAATTGATATTAATTGATATTAATTGATATTAATTGATATTAATTGATATTAATTGATATTAATTGATATTAATTGATATTAATTGATATTAATTGATATTAATTGATATCAATTGATATTAATTCATATTAATTGATATTAAATGATATTAGTTGATATTAATTCATATTAATTGATATTAAATGATATTAGTTGATATTAATTCATATTAATTGATATTAGTTGATATTAATTGATATGAGTTGATATTAATTGATATTAGTTGATATTCATATTAATTAATATTAATTGATAATAATATTTGTTTTTATTTGATACTAATTGATAATAAATGATAATAATTATTAATAATTATTAAAACTAATTAACAATGATTAATATTCATTAATAATAATTATTAATAATTAATAATAATGATTGATTAATTATGATTAATATTAATAGTGATTAGTAATAATTTGTAATGATTAATAATCATTAAAAATAATTAATAATAATGGTGAAATTGTAGGGTATGTTGGAAAATTCGTGGGGAAATGGATAACTTGTGGGGAATAAAAAAATTGGTGATTTCGGAAGAATAGTGTGGAATTGTGGGAAAATTTTAACAACATTTTAACAAAAATGCGAGGAATTGTGGGGATTTTGGAAATTTGGCGAGGAATTTAAAAAAACGGGGGAATTTCAGAAAAATTGTAGGGATATTTTGGAAAATATGGGAAATTAAAAATTGGAAAATTTTAGAACAATGGTGGGGAATTGTAGGGGGATTTTTTTGTAAAAATAGTGAAGAATTGTAGAGGAACTTCAGAAAAATAGTGAAGAATTGAAAGAGAACTTTGGAAAAATAGTAAGGAATTGTGGTGAAAATGGAAAAATGTTGAATTGTGGGGGATTGTGGAAAAATAGTGAGGAATTGTTGGAGAATTTTGGGGAAAATAGTGGGGAATTGTAGACGAACTTTAAAAAACTTAGAGAATTGTAGGGAAAAGAGAAAAAATGGTGAAATTGTAGGGATTTTGTAAAAATAGCGGAGAATTGTAGGGGGATTTTGAAAAAATAATAGGGAATTGTGGGTAATTCTGTGAGAAATTGGTAATTTGTAGGGAATTAAAAAAATTTGTTATTTTGGAAAAATAGTAGGGAATTGTAGGAGAACTTTGGAAAAATTGTGGGGAAAAGATGAAAATAGTAAAATTGTGAGGATTTCGGAAAAATAGTGGGGAGTTCTGGGTAAAAGGGGACACTTGGGGACTTTAAAAAAAATTTTGAGGATTTAAGAATTGAGGTAATTGTGGGGATTTTGGAAAAATAGCGGGGCAATAAAAATCGACGGAGTTTCAGAAAAATTGTAGGGATATTTTGGAAAATGGTAGGGCATTAAAGAATGGGAGATTTCAAAAAAGTGGGGAATTGTAGGGGGATTTAAAAAAAATAGTGGTGAATTATTGTAGGCGAAAATTCGGAAAAATAGTAAGGAATTGTGGGGAAAAGAGGAAAAATGGTGAAATTAAGGGCAATATTGGAAAAATAGAAAGGGAAATTGTAGGAAATTAAAAAATTATTGATTTTTGAAAAAGATTGGGGAATTGTGGGAAATTTTTGAGGATTAAAAAAATTAGGGGAATGGTGGGGGATTTTAGAAAAATAGCGGGAAATTTCAAAAAAATTGTAGGGATATTTAGGAAAATAGTGGAGTATTAAAAAATTGGAAGTTTCAGAAAAATAGTGGGGAATTGTAGGGGGAATTTGGAAAAATAGTGGGAAATTGTAAGGGAACTTAAAAAAAAGTATGGAATTGTGGGAAAAAGATGAAAAAAAAAATGATGGAATTGGAGGGATTTTGGAAAAATAGTGCTGAATTGTAGGGGAACTTTAGAAAAATAATATGGAATTGTGGGGAATGGATAAAAATGGTGAAATTGTGAGGATTTCGGAAAAATAGTGGACATCTTGGGGGAAAGGGGATACTTGGGCATTAAAAAATTGGAGATTTTGGAAATAGAACGGGGAAAATTTTAGGGATTTAAAAAAAATTGGGGGAATTGTGGGGATTATTAGAAAAATAGTGGTGCATCAAAAATCGGCGGAGTTTTAGAAACGTTGGGATATTTAGGAAAATGGTGGGGTATTAAAAGATGGGGAATTGTAGGGAGATTTTAAAAAAATAGTGGTGAAATGTAGGGGAACTTTGGAAAAATAGTAAGGAATTGTGGGGGAAAGAGGAAAAAAGGTAAAATTATGGACTATATTGAAAAAATAAGAGGGGGAATTCTGGAGGAACTTGTAGGGAATTAAAAAAATATTGATTTTGCAAAGAAAGTGGGGAATCGTATGAAATTTTTGAGGATTAAAAAATGGGGGAATTGTGGGGATTCTGAAAAAATAGCGGGGAATTAAAAAAACTAGCGAAATTTTAGAAAAAATGTAGGGAGATTTCAGAAAAATGGTGGGGAATCGTAGGGAAATTATTAAAAAAATAATATTAAGGAATTGTGGGGAAAAGAGAAAAAATTGTGAAATTGTGGGAGATTTTGGAAAAATAGTGGGGAATTCTGGGTAAAGGGAGAACTTGTATGGAATTTAAAAATAGAGAAATTTTAGAACGATTTTGGGTAAATAGTGAGAAATAATTGATAATATTTCATAATAATTGATAGATAATATTTGTTATTATTTGATACTAATTGATAATATATGAAAATAATTAATATTAATAATTATTTTGACTAATTTATAATAATTAATAATCATTGTTAATGTTTATCAATAATAATAAATGATTAATAATTAATAATAATTTAATTAATACTTAATAATATTATTTAATGATAATTAATAAAAATTAAAAATAATTAATAATGGATGATTAATATTGATTTGTAATGAATAATAATAAATAATAATGATTAATAACGATTAATAATGATTAATAATGATTAATAAAGATTAATAACTAATAATAGCGATTAATTACGATTCATAATGATTAATTATGAATATTTACGATTAATGGCGATTAATAACGAATAATAACAATTAATAACGATTAATAACTACTAATAACGATTAATAACGATTAATAATCATTAATTATGAATATTTACGATTAATGGCGATTAATAACGATTAATAACTACTAATAATGATTAATAACCATTAATAACGATTAATAATGATTAATAACTATTAATAACGATTAATAATGATTAATAACGATTAATAATCATTAATAATGATTAATAATGTTTTATAATGATTAATAACGATTAATAATCATTAATAATGATTAATAACTATTAATAATGATTAATAACAATTAATAATCATTAATAATGATTAATAACAATTAATAATCATTAATAATGATTAATAATGTTTTATAATGATTAATAAAGATTAATAACTAATAATAGCGATTAATTACGATTCATAATGATTAATTATGAATATTTACGATTAATGGCGATTAATAACGATTAATAATTAATAATAACAATTAATAACTAATAATAACGATTAATTACGATTATTAATGATGAATAATTAATAATAAACGATTAATAACAACTAATAACGAATAATAACGATTAATAACGAACTATAACGATTAATAACGATTAACAACGACTAATAACGATTAATAATGAAGAAACTAACCTGCGTATATATTCTTTTAGGTCCTTTAGTAACCATGATGGGTAAAATGGTTAAAAAACATGATCTATTTCATCGTTCTATTACTAATAATTCTCATGAGCTTCGGAGTTTCGAGACAAGCCATTTTAAAACCGGATCAAGATCCTACGTGGATGATAGCTAGAGATGTGAGTAGGTTTTCAATTATTCCTCAAAGAAACTCAAATTCAATCGTTTTTTTTTTTCTCAGGTATTCTTCGAACCGTATTTCATGTTGTACGGTGAAGTATTCGCCGGCGAGATAGATCCGCCGTGCGGAGGAGTGGACGAAGAGGTATGCGAGACCGGACGGTGGATTTCGCCTGTTATTATGTCTATTTATCTATTGGTTGCGAATATTTTACTGATTAATCTACTGATCGCTGTATTTAATAATATTTTTAACGAAGTCAACGCCATAGCGCATCAAGTGTGGATGTTTCAAAGATTTACGGTCGTAATGGAGTACGAGCAGAAACCTTTATTACCACCTCCTTTCATATTTTTCTCTCATATTTATCTACTATTCAAGTACACCAGAAGGAAAATGGAAGGCATCGAAGAAAGCTACGATAATGGATTAAAATTGTTCCTGGATAAAGACGAAATGGAACGATTATACGACTTCGAAGAAGACTGCGTCGAAGGTTATTTCGCCGAGCAGGAAAAATAAACTACAACAATCTACAGAGGAGAGAATAAAAATCACCACAGAACGAATAGAACACTTAACGCAGAAAGTGGAGGATATAGTTTCGAAGGAAAACCTCCAAACTACCGTTCTGCAAAATTTGGACGTCCGCACGCGACGCTACACGGAGCAACTCGAAGAATTGGTCACCGATATCGAAGTTTTGAGGCGGTTGATGGTGCAAACGCAGCCGTTCGCGGCGGACAACGTGTTAACGACGCAACAGCAGGGGATGCGCGAGAGGACGATTAGCGAGCTGAGCGAGTTGTCCGAGGAGAATACGATCGTGGGACAGCTGATGCCTAGTCAGCCGGCTAGGAAGAAGACGATAGTGAGATCTTTGACTGAAGTTCGACCGGACGCTTATATATTTGATAATGGACAGCATATCGAGTATAGATATGCGGATGATGATGACGATAATGAGCAGATGGATAATATTTCTATGGCGGGTAAGAATAAATGGGGGATTTTGGAAAAATAGTGGGGAATTCTAAAGGAAATGTGAAACTTGTGGGAAATTAAAATTTGAGGATTTTGGTAAAAGAATTTTAGGAAAAAGGGGAAATGTTAAGGAATTATAAAAATTTGGGGGAATTTTAGGGAACTAAAAAATTAGGAATTTTGGAAAAACGATGAAGAATTGTAGAGAAAGGGAGAAAATTTTGAGGATTAAAATAAAATTCGGGGAATTGTGGAGGTTTTTAGAAAAATGGTAGGGAATTTTAGGGGAACTTAGGAAAAATAGTGAGGATTTGTAGAGGAACTTTGGAAAAATAGTAGAAAATTGTAGAATTGTGGGGGATTTTGGAAAAACTAGTGAGGAATTGTGTGGAATTAAAAACTGATGATATAGTGTAGAATTGTAGGGAAAGGGGGAAAATTTTAAGGATTTTAAAAAAAATTGTAGAATTGTGGGGAATTTTGAAAAAATAGTGGGGGAATTGTAGGGGAATTTTAAAAAATAGTAGGGAATTGTGGAGAAAAGGGAAAAACAGAAAAAGTGGGAAATTTTAGAAAAATAGTATGCAATTGTGAGGAGACTTTAAAAAAAAATTGTAGGGATGTTTAGGAAAATAATGGGGAATTCAAAAATTATAAGTTTCAGAAATATAGTAGAGAATTATATGATGGTGGGTGAGGTTTTATGATGGTGGGTGAGGTTTTCCGGGTTTTCCTCACCTGTAAGTCAAATGGCACCATCAATCATCTTTAAGTCGCCCCGGAGCGCCACGGCAAATAATAATAATAGCCGTCCCTTTCCCCGGACAAGCTCAGCTTCTGGGGTTAAAATTCACTCGTAAGGGGGTGAATTAGGGAGAGTATTATTATTATTATTATTTCGGAAAAATAGTGAGGAATTGTAGAGGAACTTTGGAAAAATAGTAGAAAATTGTGGAGACAAGAGAAAAAATTGTGGAATTGTGGGGGATTTTGGAAAAACTAGTGAGAAATTGTGTGGAATTAAAAACTGATGATTTTAGAAGTATAGTGGAGAATTGTAGGGAAAGGGAGAAAATTTTAAGAATTTAAAACAAAAATTGTAGAATTGTGGGGAATTTGGAAAAAATAGTGGGGAATTTTTAAAAAATAGTAGGGAATTGTGAAGAAAAGGGAAAAACAGAAAAAGTGGGAAATTTTAGAAAAATATTATGCAATTGTGAGGAGACTAAAAAAAATTGTAGGGATGTTTAGGAAAATAATGGGGAATTCAAAAATTATAAGTTTCAGAATTATAGGGGGATTTCGGAAAATAGTGAGGAATTGTAGAGGAACTTTGGAAAAATAGTAAAAAATTGTGGAGAAAAGAGAAAAAATTGTGAAATTGTGGGGGATTTTGGAAAAACTAGTGAGGAATTGTGTGGAATTAAAAACTGATGATTTTAGAAGTATAGTGGAGAATTGTAGGGAAAGGGGGAAAATTTTAAGGATTTAAAAAAAAAATTGTAGAATTGTGGGGAATTATAGGGGAAATGTGAAACTTGTGGGGAATTTAAAATTTGAGGATTTTGGTAAAAAGAATTTTAGGAAAAAGGGAAAATGTTTTGGGGAAATTGTGGGGGATTTTGGAAACTAGTGGGAAATTCTGGGGAACTAAAAAATTAGGGATTTTGAAACAATGATGGAGAATTGTTGAGAAATGAGGAAATTTTGAGGATTTAAAAAAAAAATTTGGGGAATTGTGAAGGTTTTTAGAAAAATTGTAGGGAATTGTAGGGGAACTTAGGAAAAATAGTGAGGATTTGTAGAGGAACTTTGGAAAAATAGTAGAAAATTGTGGAGAAAAGAGAAAAAATTGTGAAATTGTGGGGGATTTTGGAAAAACTAGTGAGGAATTGTGTGGAATTAAAAACTGATGATTTTAGAAGTATAGTGGAGAATTGTAGGGAAAGGGGGAAAATTTTAAGGATTTTAAAAAAAATTGTAGAATTGTGGGGAATTTTGGAAAAATAGTGGGGAATTATAGGGGAAATGTGAAACTTGTGGGGAATTTAAAATTTGAGGATTTTGGTGAAAGAATTTTAGGAAAAAGGGGAAATGTTTTGGGGATTTTGGAAACTAATGGGAAATTCTGAGGAACTAAAAAAATTAGGGATTTTGAAATAATGATGGAGAATTGTAGAGAAAGGGAGAAAATTTTGAGGATTTAAAAAAAAAATTGGGGAATTGTGATGGTTTTTAGAAAAATGGTAAGGAATTGTAGGGGAACTTAGGAAAAATAGTAGAAAATTGTGGAATTTTGAAAAAACAGTAAGAAATTGTAGGGAAATTTTGGAAAAATAGTGGGGTATCGTAGATGAACTTTGAAAAAATGGAATTTTGAAGAAAAGATGAAAACTGGTAAAATTATGGGGAATTTGAAAAAATAGTAGGAGGTTTTTAAGAAATAGTGGGGAATTGTAGGATAATTTAAAAAAAAATGGTGAAGAATTGTAGGGAAAAGGGAAAAATAGGAGATTTTGGAAAAATAGTATGCAGTTGCAGGGAATTTAAAAAAAAAACGGAAATTTTAGAAAAATTGTGAGGATTTTTAGGGAAAATAGTGAGGAATTAAAAAATGAAAGTTTCAGAAATATAGTGGAGAATTGTAGGGGGATTTTAGAAAAATAGTTGGGGAATTGTAAGGGAACTTTGGATAAATAGAAGGGAATTGAAAAGAAACGAGGAAAAATTGTGAAATTGTGGGGATTCTAGAAAATAGTGAGGAATTGTAAGAGGATTTTAGGAAAATAGTGGGGCTTCTGGGGGAAATAGGGAACTTGTGGGGAATTAAAAAAATTGGAAAAATTGTGGGAAAAATGGAAAAATTTTGAGGATTTAAAAAAAAAAATGAAGAATTGCGGGAATTTAAAAAAAAATTGTGGGAGATTAAAAAACGAGAGAATTTCAGAAAAAATGTGAGGAATTTTAGGGAGATTTTTAAAAAATAGTGGTGAATTGTAGGGAAACTTTGGAAAAATAGTAGAGAATTGTGAAAAAAGGAGGAAAAATGGTAAAATTGTGGAAATTTTGACACACTAGTGGGTAAGGTTACAAATTTGATCGAGCCGAATAAAATAAATAAGGCTTTGTGGGGGATTTTGGAAAAATAATAGGGAATTCTGGGAAAAGGGAGGAAAAATGATGGAATTGTGGGGAATTTTGAAAAAGTAGTGGGGAATTTTGAAAAACTAGTGGGGAATAATGGGAAACTTGTAGGGAATTTTAGAAAAATATTGAGGAATTGTTCAGAAATGATTAAATTTTGAGGATTTTTTAAAAATGAGGGGAATTATGGAGGATTTTGGAAAAACGGGGGAATTTCAAAAAAATTGTAGGGATAATTAGGAAAGTAGTGAAGAATTAAAAAATTAAAAGTTTCAGAAATATAGTGGAGAATTGTAGGGAGATTTTGGAAAAATAATAAGGAATTGTGAAGAAAAGAAAAAAAATGGTTAAATTGTGAAGGATTTTGGAAAACTAGTAGGTAATTTTAGGGGAATAAGGAATTAGGAATGAGGAATTAAAAATTCAGGAATTTTGGAAAAAATAGTGGGGAATTATGGAGAAATTGGGAAAATTTTGAGAATATTAAAAAAAATTGGGAGAATTGTGGGGAATCTTGAAGAGAGAAAAAAAGGATATAAAAAACGGAACTTTCAGACATTGTAGGGACATTTAAGAAAATAGTGAGGAATTGTGGAAAAAAAGAGGGAAAATGGTGGAATTGTGGAGGATTTTGGAAAAATTAGTGAGGAATTGTGGGGAATTAAAATGATGATTTTAAAAGTATAATGGGGAATTGTAGAGAAAGGGGGGAACATTTTAAGGATTTAATAAAAAAAATTGTAGAATTGTGGGGAATTTTGAAAAATAATGAGGAATTTTATCAGAATTTTGGGAAAATAGTGGAAAATTGTAGGGAAACTTTGAAATATTAGTAGGGAATTGTAAAGAAAAGAGAAGAAATGGTACAATTGTTGGAGATTTTGAGAAAATAGTAAGGAATTGTATTGAAATTTTCGAAAAATAGTGGGAAATTTTAGAAAAATAGAAGGGGAAAATAGTGGAATTGTGGGGAATTTTAAACAAATTGTATGGAATTGTAGAAAGATTTTCGGAAAATAATGAAGAATCGTAGAGAAACTTTGAATAGATAGTATGGAATTGTGGGAAAAGATGTAAAATGGTACAATTGTGGAGCTTTTGGAAAAAAAGTGAGGAAAAATGGTAGGAAATTGTGAAAAAAGGGAAAAATAGAGGAAAAGTGGTGGATTCTGGAAAAAATAGTATATAATTGCAGGGAATTAAAAAAACGAAAGAATTTTGGAAAAATTGTAAGAGGTATTTAGGAAAAATATTTGGAAATTAAAAAAAATTGAAAATTTCAGAAATATAATAGAGAATTGTAGAGGGGATTTTGGAAAAATAGTGGGGAATTGTAAAAAAAAACTTTAAAAAAACAGTAGGGAACTGTAAAGAAGAGGAAAAATGGTGAAATTGTGGGGGATTCTGGAAAAATAGTGAGGAATTGTATGAGGATTTTGGGAAAATAGTGAGAAACTTTAGAAAAACAGTAAGAAATTGTAAAGACAAGAAGGAAATGGTGGAATTGTGAGGAATTGTAAAGAAACTTTAAAAAATAGAGAATTGTGAGGAAAAATAAGGATTTTACAAAAATAAGGACTTGTAGGGAGATTTTGAAAAAAAATAGTGGAAAATTGCAAAGAAAAGAGGAAAAATGATAGAATTGTGAAGGGATTTTTGGAAAACTAGTGAGGAATTGTTGAAGAACTTTGAAAAAATAATAGAATTTTTCCCATTTTCCTCACAATTCCCCACTATTTTTCCAAAATTCCATTACAAGCCTCCCCCATTTTTTTAATTCCCCCAAAATTCTTTATTATTTTAATTTTTCCAAAATTCACGATTCCCTTTTTTTTTTTTCAATGAATCAAAGTGTTTCTTTTCCCCCCACAATTTTTTTCAAAATCCCCCCTACAATTCCCTTTATTTTCTTAATTCCCACAAGTTCCCCATCTCTCCCAGAATTCTCAATTATTTTTCTAAGATCACTTCCAGCAATTTGTTTATTCCCTAAATATTCCCCATTTCCCCTCACAATTACCCACTATTTTTGCAAAAACCCCCTACAATTTCCTACATTTTTTAATACCCCAATACTCCTTTATTTTTTAAATTCCACACAAGTTTTCCCTTTCTCGCATATTACCCACTATTTCTCCAAAATCTCCCTAGAATAACACTAATTTTTTTAAATTTTCCATAAATTCGCCATGAATTCCTTACTATTCTTCCCAAAATCAACCAGATTTTTAAATTCCCCCAAAATTACCAACTATTTTTCTGAAATAACCCTTCAATTCCCCTCCATTTTATATTTTCTTAAAAATTCACCCTTCCCTCTTTTATTTCTCTAAAATTCTTCACAATTCCCCATCTTTTTTCAATTAGCCATAATTTTCCTTTTTATCTTACAATTCCTCACTATTTTTCCAAAATCACTACATTTCATCCCGTTTCTCTAGGATTCTCCACTATTTTTTAAAAATCTTCCACAATTTGACCATTTTTATCACTCAAATATTCCTTATTTTCCCACAATTTTCTCAAAATATTTCTACAATTTTCCTCTCTTCAATACCACACTAGTTCTAATTCCTTCAGAATTCCTCACTTTTTTTGTCAAAATCCATCACAATTCTTCCAATTTTTTAAATTAACCCATTTTTTAATACTTTACCAGTTTCCCCTTTCTCCCAGAATACCCACTACTTTTCCCAAAATTCTATCTTTGCTCACTATTTTTTCAAATTCCCCTACAATTTCACCATTTTTTCTTACAATTTCCTACTATTTTCCCGACTACTTTTCTAAAACTTCCAATTTTTCAATTCCTCACAATTTTTTTGAAATTTCCTTTTTTTTTATTTCCCTGTTTATTTAGCAA